AATTAAACAATAAAAGAGATTCACTTATATTTTAGTTAAAAAAGTAAAATAACAAAAATAATTTAAAAAAAAAGAATGTCGCACTAAATAGCAAACAGAGACAAATGTTAAATATTTTACAACGGTAGACACTACATTTTACTTTTTAATGTTAGCTTTTAGGGTGCACATTGGCCAAATCAATTTATTTATTTAAAAGATAAAAGATTTTTAATATTGATATGGTCACTATAAGATGTTGTTAGGTTGGTTAAATACGTAATAACTTAAGACAGAAGGACCCTTAAGTAGGGACTGAATAAATTAACCGACTTGGTATTAGATGGATCTCACAACTTTTTACGGTAGAAGAACTGAGTTGCGAGACTTGGTTTTTTTTACAAGTTATGTTTTTGATGGCATCTCATTTCTTTTTGTGGATAGTTATATCTAGGTACCTATCTTCACCTATTATTCCATTATATTATACATAATAGGTACACTGTGTCTTCAACTACTGGTTCAAATTGAAAGAAATTTGAAATGTACTGAGTTTATACAATGCCTATTTGTTAACTGAAAATGCAGGCTTCTAGTGTTATCCACAACGAAGTTATAGGGTTTGAAAATGGTCTGAACTGCTTCGAGAAAAGGATGGTAGGTACGACCGTGCCGCTTGTTTGTTCGACTTGGCGGGGGCACTGCCGTGCCTCCAGAAATTGTGTGTTTATGAGTAATAAGTAGAGGTACATAAATAAGTAAATAGAGTATAGTAATATATATATATATATATATATATATATATATATATATATATATATATATCTATATATATATATATATATAATATATATATATATATATAGATATTTTATTATGTTAAAAACAGACAAATTTTATTATTACACACACACACACACACACATATATATATATATATATATATATATATATATATATATATATATATATATATATAAATTAAATTAAAGTAGATAGAGTAGGTAATATATGTAAGTTTTTAATTTTACTTATTTACTAACTCTAGCTTCTAGTATATACTTTTTGTAATTACTACCCACTACCCACTCTATGGAAAGAAATTTCTGATATAAAGAATAATAATAATAATATACATACGTTAGAAACGAAGTTACAGACAGACGAAGTTTAGGGCGTTCCCCCACTGGATGGAATGACGACCTGGTAAGACATGCAAGAAGTCGATGGATGCAGGTGGCTCAGGACTGTGCTTTGTGGCATTCCTTGAGGGGGGCCTATGTTCAGTAGTGGAATTGTGAAGGGCCGTAATGATGATGATCATGACTATGATGATGATCATGACGATGATGATGAATCTTCATCTCCAAATTGTTTAAGATAAAATATAGCCTAGATCACTCCACATTCTATTCTATTCTATTGCTCTCTATCTGTAAGTAAAGTTTCATCACAATTGGACAGACAGACGGGGAGACAAAAAATTTAAAATAGCACGACAAAAGCTAAACAAAAGCTCAACAAAAGACGGTTGTCTTAAGCCAAACAGACACTAGTTTTATTTATATTTCAATTTTCTCTATACCTGTAACTTTCAAATGTCATTTTGTAAAGAAAGAGAAAGTTACTCTAAGTTGATGTCGTTTTTAATACGAAAGGCCGTAAATTTTGATTCTTTGTTCAGACCTGGCTCATTTGGCCAGTGACTACTCTATGTTAAGCATTAGAATACCATAGCTAAAGAGGTGCTTTTTGAGGGCGTTACTTTATCATCCTTCATCATATGTTGCAAAATTGTACATGTATAGTGCTTTATAAGAAAACAATGCATTACATTTACAATTTAATCTTCAATATTCTCTTAGTATTTTTCAACTTCTTCTGGTACAAACAACATTTAGCATTTTTGACGTCGCCTTCCGCAAATGGTTTGGGTATTTTACTGGTCTAGTAAAAAATTCGAAATCGTTAAATCATCTATTGTTGTTCACGAGGTCTTTAATTGTCATGGATCCATTTATGTTGCCACAATTCATTCATTTATATACTATATGCTATTAAAAATCTACTGCTGAATATAATATACCTATAAAAACCATGAATTGCCACAGATGCCACGCTTAGCATGCGGGTTGGCAAGCCTATTCTAAGTGTGGCCAGAGCTGTAATATATGCATCACAGCTCAGGTTTAATCTATTTTGAATTTAAAGTTAGACGTGGCCGCTATACGGCAAATATTTGAAATATAATCATAAATCCTTTTACTTAAAAACATACATAGTATTTTCTTCTTTATCAGCCTGGTATGTTGCAATGCTGGAAGGCCTTAAAAAAAATAACCTACTCCCTTATAAAAAGCCCACAATGTACCTGTAATTGCTCGGTTTTTAGCGGTTGTCTTTTGTTTTCTATAAAAATTAGATAAAAAGGCCTTCTCCCGTTTTTAGAAAGGATGAAATATAGTTGCCACCTTTAGCAGGCCTATTGGCAATCGAAGTAGCTGATGTCTTTATACCTTTGATAATGTCTCTCGTCACCATTATTCTAGATATTTCACATAATATAGCAAATATGTAAGTATACTCAAGGCTTCCCAGCCAAAGCAACCCGGGTTCGATCCCGTTGGCACTAAACAAATGGTAAGCAGCGCTGCTGATTTACCACGTGTTCAATGGTGATGGAATACATCGTGAGAAAAGCTGCACGTTCAAAGAATAAAAATATCTTGGCACGTGATGTTTGATAATAAGCAAATAGAGCTGCGCGGTGAACTAAGAGTTCCTTAATCCACTTAGAAATAATGGAAAGCCTGTGCCTAGTAGTGGAACATTAGCAGTCTATAACTGGCTTCTCCTGTAGCGTTTTTAGACACCCACAAGACGAAATACGGTGATTGGTTCTCTAAAGCCACACATACTATAATTGTACTTATATATAATTGTAATAATTTTTATAGTACTGAAGCTTGCAGTAAGTAGCAGGAGCAGAAATTGACATTAATTTTTTCGAGCAGATTCAGTACATCTTTGGCCGTAAAGAAAATCATCAAAAGTTTTGGTTAGCGTCTGTTAACATACACTATAACAATTAACATGTGACCATTTATTGGACGGATATAAGCTGATAATTTTATGTGTATAGCAGCAAATTCCTGAAACATATTTGTGAGTGACAGTGTGGATGTTGGTTTTCCGGGTAAGATTAGTTCATTGTGATGATCACCTTCCGAAGAGGAGCTCGGCATGGATAACTGTTGCTTGTTAGACTACGAACGTATGTGAAGGCGTTTTAGTCGTTGCAATCCTGAGATAGACAAGAATATTTAAACACATAAGGCGAATTAAAAACACAAACTCATAACACATGGATAAAGTGTTTGAGAAAGGTCCTAAAAATGAACACACTATTTGTAATTATGTAATATTCATTTTGCAGGTAACTTTCAGTCAATGTGAAAGAGATGATAAAAACAAATGGCAAGGTCTATCAGATAATGAATGACAGGGGATGCTCTTTTCGCTAAACAATGCTAATAAATACAGTGACTCGAGCGTTAACACCCGTCAGGCATCGACTATAAGGTAGGTTCTCCCTGTGTTCTATTCTATCCTTATAAGTTAATGTATAAGTGTGGGTGTCGAGAAGATAAACATACTTACAGAATCAGACCATTTTGTTTATTAATGTAGACGATAAATAAAGTTCAAATAAAGAAGAATAAAACCGACTTAATAAACATTTAATTACCATTTTGAACAGGCTAAGAAAAATCACAATTTCACGATAACCTTGCAATTTTCTAATCGAACTTTTAACAAATAAAATGACGTCTAAATAATTATACCAAAAAAAACTTCATTTCTTATTTTCTACCCTTAGTGTCTAAATTTTTTCTTCATGCTTATATGGGACCACCTTTGAAGTGTACCGATTTAATAAAAGAAAAATCATTCAATCACTACAGCCGTTCCCGAAAAATCCGTGAACATACATCAAAAATACATACGCGCCGAATACAGCACCTACTCGTTTTTTGAACTCGTTTAAAAAAGACACACGAGTACTATTTTCGGTTTAAATTTTCTTCCTCCTAATTCCCAGCCCATTAATAGTCAATTTACGTGCTATGTTATGGGTGCAGCACGAACGGATTAGCCCGAGTAGAGAGGGACCATACTTCCACAGAATGCCACCCTGAAATAGCAATATAATGCTGTTGTGTTTCGCATAGTGAGTGAGGAGAACTTACTTATACAATACTTTTTCTATCTACTGGTTACGAGGCATTCCATCCTGGTACTCAGGGATGAAAACGCGTCTGCATTTCGACTCTTTATCGAAGTTAGATGTGTTTAGGAGTTCTAGCGTCCGCTTGCATGATCAGATGGGCTGTGTGGTTGTTTGTCACCCATCATTTAATTTGAAAATATATGGATCTCTTGTTTGGAATACATGATTTATTTAAAAATATTGCAGATTAAAAATATGTTTCCCGAAAATTTTAATACATTTTAATTTTCTTTATCAACATTTTGTCCAAAGAAATAAATGTTTGATTTATTAAGGGTTATAAGGTTATATTAAGCCTATAAAATACCTTTATAAATCTTTATAAATATAGTTGTTTAAATATACCCATTTTTCTATCTATCACATATTTACAATAACGATAACTGTAACTGGTGATTTCAGCAATTTTTATAAGTTACTGAAAATTTCAAAATAAGTTTCAGTGTGTTCGCGACTCAACGGTCTGAAAAGATTTTCTAAGTTACACCGAACACTTGATTCAGCCAATCAAATATACCCACCCTCCGTCAAGTCTCCCGCGCCTGTTCTCTTTATAAAGGCAAGAGAATAGAGGGCGAGGCGCAGTTTGCTTTTATCCTTGCATTAACGCATCTCTTTTAAAATAAAAATACTTTATATACTTACGACCCACACTAATAATTGTATATCTAAAACAGTTTAGTTAAAATCACATATTTTCTCGTCCAAGGCTATCCACGTAACTTTGATCATGAGTGGTTCTGGAAAAGGGCTACTGGGGTTATGGTTGTATAGAAATGGGGCAGACTGGCAGATGAAGAGTGAAGCTCATCATCATTCTAAGTTTGAAGTTGCTCGTCCTCAAGAGGCACAGCATCCTGAAGGCGAGAAAATATCAGTTATCTTCACTTTAAAGAATCAAGTTGGAGGGCTTGTGAAAGTTCTATCAGTTTTCCAAGATTTAGGGATTAATGTACTTCATATTGAATCCAGGAAATCTATAACGGAGATTTCGGCTGTAAGTTTTATTATTGGTTGTACTTAGAATAATATGTACACAACTTTTTATTAATATTATCCATTCATCAATTTCAGTCTGATATTCTGGTAGACGTGGAATGTGATCCTCGCAGAATGGAACAGTTGAAACGTATGCTTAAGCGTGAGGTTCAGGAGTTCGAAGTAGTTTCACAACAGACTGGACAAGAATTTGCTCCGCCAACTCCTCTTTCTGCTGCAACCAGTTTTGGTATTTTTATTTTGATGTCATTATTAAGTGATATGGACTAAATATGAAATTATTTTATATTAGGCGGTGGCGAATGAGAATTCAATATCCCAAATCAGGAGACAAAAAAAGGAAATAGAAACAGGGTATGGGCAGCAGCACCTTCCTCACAAAAACTCAAAATAATTAAAACCCTTTTTTGCCGGCCTGCCTGGGCCTTCCAAAAGGCAACATTCCCATTTTGAGGCAGTCTATGGTGGAGGCCTGTGTTCAATAGTAAACTTTTATAGGCTGTAATAGATGGATACTCTTTATAATGATATATTTATCCGTGTATTTAAAACTATTAATTAAATAAAACTGACAAACTTTCTATTATACGTTTACACTTACTGTTATTTGTTATGGTACATTCAAAATTAAGTTTTTGTTTATTTCATATATATAAAAATTAATATTTGTTTGTTCGTACTTTATGCGCTGCCATTCCGTTCATCAGATTGTGGTAAAACTTTGTCAACTTATTGCTTGCACTTGGGCGAAGGTTATAGGTATAGTACAATTAACTTGGAGTTAATTATTTACAATTATTAATTATTTAAGCGCGTTACTGCCTTAGAAGAAATATTAAGTACAATTATTTCTTCTAAGACAGTAACGCGCCGGAACCAGCTAGTTTCATATTAAAATTAAGTTTTAAAATTTATTTTAACGTTAACTTTAATCCCTTAATTAAGTATAATAATATTTTAATATATCGCAAACAAAACCCTTACATCTTAGATTGTACCAAAACTTGTAAAATATATTAAATTAATATATTCAATTCCAGATTTTGGAGAAATGCCTTGGTTTCCCCGCAAGATTTCGGACTTAGATCGAGCTCAAAATGTTCTCATGTATGGCTCAGAGTTAGATGCTGATCATCCAGGTTTTAAAGATCCCGTCTACCGAAAAAGGAGAGAACATTTCGCTGCAATAGCCAATAATTATAAATAGTAAGAAATAGTGTTCGATTTAGATCGTCCTTTTTACGTATGAAATTAATATTTACACACCTATTGAGTTGAACATGCCACAGAGAAAAATTGTATTTCAATCGTTGTTTAAAATAATTAAGCATTCATAGCTTTAAGATGTTTTTCTTTAATTTGTTTCAGTGGCCAGCCTATTCCAAGAGTGCAGTATACAGAAACGGAGATCAAAACTTGGTAAGCTACTTTTCTCTCGTGTTACTTCTGTTTAGTGTATTAGTGAATATAAGCGATTGTTTTGCAATATTTACAGCTTAAGTTTATTCATGAAAATGCGAATTTTCCTTTCATTTATTGATAATTAATTTAATCTTTAAAGATTTAAATTGAGTTGTATAAAATGTTTCCCCCTAATTACTTTCCATCGGAAAAGCTTACCATCATGAGTAAACTATTTAATAACTACTGGTGATAATGACTGTTATATGCTATGTGGTTGCAGTGATGATTCGTACAATTTTTGACTATATCTTTTATTTTTTCACGATACTATTCGTTTCAATTAAACAGAATCCTATTTCTCCATCAGTCAGTATATTTTATTATATATGTGCTTCTTCGCGAATTATTTGCCATAATTTAAAACAATATTACGATTTTAAAAGCTATATTATTACAATCACTGCTACATATATTTTTCTAATCGTTTTAACAACTTTTAAATCTCTTTGGTGGTATCAAATCAGTGATATTATCCGGCTATTCAATTAATAGAAAGCTTTGTTGGATTTAGGGTTTGAATAAAATCCTAAATATGTCACACTGCTCGGTACAGGCTTTCACTAATTTATATGAGAGTTATGGAGAACAAAGAACTTACAGGTATAAAATATAAATGTTCTACCCAGGTGTTAAATATGCATATTAAATATTGTATGTACGTAGTTTAGTGTTCCACTATCACAAAATTACTGCTTATAATTTGATATTGTTCGTCTATCTGCCTGTCCTAATTTGTGACAGTATTGTAACTACCTACTAGTTTTTACCGGATGAGATTTTATTGAATTCTGGAATGTATTTTTGACACTCAATCATTAGATAAGAAAATATTATAAATATAATAATATACTATGTATATTTTATATACTTCTCTTTTATGTTTATTAACGGTATGTAATTTTGGTTTTGAAGTTCCAAATCCAGTGGTATGTCATTACAAATATCCAAAGGCTTGAAATGATAATGAGGTGTCATGAACCACTTTTTGCAATTAAGTTTACTATTTACTAAAATAATACCTAAAGTCAAAGATATCGGCAATTTTTTCACCTTGAAATAAAGTAACTAAAAATCTAAAACTAAAATTGTAATTGATAGTGTTACATTTAAGATACATTTTGAAATCATTTCTATAACGGAAACATAAACAGACAGGCGGTGGCAGACGTTTGTGTTAGTCATTTTTCAATTTTCAATACATGATGTCAATGGTTTATTTCAAATGTCTGTTATAGGGGTATCGTGTTTCGGGAGTTGCACAAATTGTACCAGAAACACGCATGTGATGAATATCTGGAAAATTGGCCACAACTTGTTAAATATTGCGGCTACAGAGAGGATAACTTGCCCCAGGTACTTGCAACTTATAAATTTAGTTGCTAAACTAGTTTAGACAAGCTCTCCACGAATAATAGGGATAGTTTCTAACACTAATGGCATGACAAAGCTGATTCAAATACTTGTAAAGGTCAATTTCATATTAAGGTAACAATTCTCAAGCAACACTTCTGCTCTGATACTATAATATATAAAGCTCTTATGTGGGTATTGTTTTTCATAATTTTAAATACTTTAACATTATATCTTAAATTATGTATTGTAAATTTGGTAAGCGGTTTTTAATAAGGGTTTAGCGAATATTTTCAATGATGTTATAATCTCAACGGTATAAGAGCAATCAACGGACAAGACTGATAACTGGCGGATAGCAGTATAAACTATAGAACTTTACATACAAAACGCTGACGGTTGTGGCACAGTTAAATTATTATAGCCTAACGCTAACATGCACTCTTTGAAATGCCGTTTTGTAATTTAATATATTTATTAAAACAGTTAAAAGAGTAATTTCTAAAAGGGAGTGTCGAGTGTCGAATTAAAATAAAATCTAATTTTTTTTTTAGAGGAGAGAGGGCAACCGAGCATGCGGCTCACCTGATGATAAGTGACTACCGCCGCCCATGAACAACACCAGGGAAATTGCAGATGCGTTGCCGGCCTTTTAAAAAGGAGTAGGCTAATTGCCGTGAGATGATGGTGTAATAAAATAAATCACCAAATTTCGTCCCTTAAATTTAGTCCCTTCGACGAATGCTGAAAGCTAAAATTTATATTAAAATATGTGTTACAAAAACATAAAATAAAATAAAATACAACATTACTTTCATACATATGGTTCATACTGCCAATGTCAAGCACAAAATAGTTAGTGATCGCTGTGGTCAAACAGTCGTACAGAGTAGAATTTGTCACCAAAGAATTTCAAAATGTTTAAAAATAAATAAACTAGTGACAGATAGATTGAATTATCAGTGAATTTTGTGTTATATACATAGGTTATTTAAAATGTTCCATTTTTAATAGTCTGTGGAGTGTATGTTAAGGCATAAAAGCGTTTATTTTATAAAAAGTAAATTACTTTAAGCTAGCTGAGCTTAAAATACAAACTACAAAATACAAATCCATTAAGTTTCAAAAACAAAAACAAAAACTAAGGTATTTTGTTGAACAATAATTTTTATTATTGAATTTATAAATTTATTTTTAAACTAATATAGATGTGAAAATTAAAAAAAATATCAATTAAAGCCGAAATATATATATTTACTTCCGTATATATAGTATAACGAATAAATTAACCCAAGTTACTCCTTATAATATCAGCTATCTGCCAGTGAAAGTCCCGTCAAAAACGGTGTAGCCGTTTCGTAGATTAGCCAGAACAAACAGACAGACAGACAAACAATTTAAAAAATGTTTTTTGTTATTAGGGCCGTATAATACTTTCATATACGTTTAGTAAAATGTCGTTATTTTAACGTTACAAACAGACACTTACATATTTTTTCATTTGTATAGATAACTTGAAAGCCATATATCAAAACAAAATATCATTTTAAATTTATATTACTATCTTATTTAGCAATAATAAAATTTAATTTTAATTTTATGCAATTAATACTTCCAAAAAATAAACAAACATCGTATATTTTTTCATACTGCTTTTACAGCTGGAAGATGTCAGTGTATTTCTAAAACGCAAGACTGGCTTTCAGCTACGCCCAGTAGCGGGATATCTTTCTCCGAGAGATTTTCTTTCTGGTCTAGCTTTCCGTGTTTTTCATTGCACGCAGTATATACGCCATTCGTCAGATCCATTTTATACACCGGAACCGTGAGTATTAATATTGCTTTTACAAAATCCATTTGTAATGTTATTATTTTAGTATTTCTACATTTATTATTTTAGTATTTAGTACCTAGTCTTTTAATATTTTTACAGTCTTATTCATAAAATTGACTCTGGACGTTTTATAGCTTTCAATTCTTTATTGCTCACTAACAAGATCTACTTTGTAAAATGTATCACGTTAGACATCTTTATTCTTTTAATGGAGAAGTTTTGTAGTTTAGAGCACCATAAAAATATTCCCTCTTCTTTTTCATCATCATCAGCTAACAAAATTGTAGTCTAGATAAATAGATTTACGTCGTAACATAAAGGTGATAGTAATAACACTGTTTATCGGACACCTATCTTCCTGGATATCTCTCTGAGATTTCCTATAGTCATCTTTTTTAAAGTATAAGGGTGACAATCGAGCACACATTCCACCTAATGGTAAGTGGATTCTGTGGTCCATAGACATCTACGTCTATCCACGATTAAGGGTCAAAATGCTGATACGTTGTCACCCCGGAGAAATAAAGTGGAATGCTTCGTTTCCAGTAAAATGCGTCTTCGGTTCTCTATACTCACCATACGAAACTCAGCAGCTCTTAAGCATGTTTTACGTGTGTATTCTGCGACCTCTTACGAAACTCGTAACAAGAGTGATAAATTCTCTTGCGTAAATACTACACGACTTGTCGGTATGGCGTAAGTTACTGCGCTGCTTCAGTTGATGGACTCTATATAAATATCTTCGGAATAAATTATTTTTCAAAAATGCTGTTTTTTTTTTCGATGAATACATCCTTATGTTTTTGCATAATAAAACAAGCCCTCCTATAAATGTTGGCTGTTTTAAAATAAAATATTATGCATTTCTTATCTCCATTATTAAATGAATAAGCTAAGGTTACAAAGATATGATTAAATAATGTTTTATTTACAGAGATTGCTGCCATGAACTTCTGGGGCATATGCCTTTGCTTGCTAATCCAAGTTTCGCCCAGTTCTCCCAAGAACTAGGTTTAGCCTCCCTTGGAGCATCCGAAGATGATATCGATAAATTAGCAACGGTAATAAACTTTATATTTTTATATTTTGGGTGAAAAGTCCATAACCAGCTTTTTAAATTTCTAATAGAATTATTAGAAATTGTTAATTTAATAACAATAATAATTATTTTCGGCAAGTGGTTTTCACTTCTAGTCCTTAGACGAATTCAACTACATTTACGGGCCCAAACCAAAGCAACGCTGATAGATTATGTTTTACTATATTAATGCTATTTTCTAACAACGAGCAGAACTCGGTCATTTAGGGTTCTTTATTAGTCAGATATTTCATGAAATATTGTTCTTAACTATGACTACGTAGAAAGGAACTGATAATATTATTAAATCAATGGAACTTCCAAAGTGATGATTTGATTTGATTTGTTGTATACGTTTAATTGTAAAAGTTTTTCTTAACGCAAATTATGAACTACTACAATAAGCAAGATTGCAAAAAACAAGTAATTATCACCTGGAACCGAATATTTGAAAATCTGATAGTACTATAAAAACCAATACAATAGAAATCCACCCCAAGCCGGCTAATCACCGTGGGTGAAGTCAACAACTACCCTCCAAATAAACTGTCTCAAACTCAAACGCTTTATAAAAAAGTTGCAATAATAATACCAACATAATATAATACCCTCTCCTAAAGAACTAACGAAAGTTTGTCAGAACTGATAGAATTAGAAGATATAAACTGTTCAATAGTAGGAATGAGTGAAGTACAACGCCAAGGTGAAATTATAGAAGATCATGGGGAATTTATTTTATATAATAAAGGGAAAACACCAGGAAAATATGGTATTTTGGATTAAAAGAGAGTTAAGTAAATTCATTGATGAATTTATCTAATTAAATAATAAAACTACCACCTAATAACATAATGTGGTCTATTATTAAATTTACTCATATATACGCTTAGTTCCAAATTTCATTCAAATATTTAGCGCGATATCTCAGAAACCTATTACATACTAAGGTCGGAGAAAATGTTTCTTTGTATTTTATATACAAATTCAAGAAATTTATTTTTTTAAGTTTAAATACATCTTCAATAACTTGTTGCTATCTTGTAGGTAGTCAAAATCCCGTTGCTGTAGAAATCTTGGGATTTTTGATGAAAAAAATGCGACATGTAGTTTTGATAGTGCTCTCCTTAAGTTAACCTAATACTACCCAAAAATTCTGAATAGAATAAAACAGGTGAAATCTGAGGGTCCAAGGTCAGGAATATATGGTGAATGCATTAACACTTCCCAACCAAGCTCTGTCAATTTTTGCTGAGTGGCCAAATATGTATGTGGTCTGACGTTATCATGATGAAAGACCACTTCTTTCCTGTTGATCAATTCTGGCCATTCGTTCTCAATTTCTTGCTTGAGTCTCTTTAGTTGTTGGCAGCAGATATCCAAATCGATAGTTTTACCCGGCGGTAAAAGCTCATAACAAACGATGAACTTCCAACCCCAACATACACACAGCATCATCTTATTGCTTGTTAATCCGGGTTTCGCTCAGTCTGTGGAGCTTGACTACCATTTGACCCTAATATCTTTCTCACGTTCTTGTCGTAGGTGATCCAGTTTTCATCACCAATGATCAATCTTTTCAAAAATAGTTCAGTTTCATTTTTTTTAAGTTTCAATAGAGAATCGCAAATTAGTACACGATTCATTAGGTTTTTTTTTTAAATGAGCTCGTGTGGTACCCAAATGTCGAGCTTTTTTGGATGGCCAGACTTTTTGAAATGGGTCAAAACTATAAATTCAAATTCAAATTCAAACTGTTTATTGCTCCTATAATGTACAGTACATTAGCAGTTGCAGTGACCATTATAGATCCTGTCGGGCGTTGCAATATACAAGAAATATACAATAAAATAATTAAATGGACTTATAACTATGTATTATTTAATACTTAGTAATTTACTGCTTAGTAATTAACTATCGAAGAATTCAGTGAGCGTGTAAAAGCTTTTGAAAATAAGATAATCATGAAGTTTTTTATTGAATGAACTTAATTTAACTTCAGATTTTACATTTATGGGTAGTTTATTGAATAATTTAATTGCCATGTAATATGGACTACGATTGAGCATTTTGGTTCTAGATGGGGGTAAATATAACCTATGTTTATGCCTAGTATTTGCATTGTGTGTTTCTTATATCTGGGTAAAGAAGTGTTTATTTTTAAATACGAAGTTACTAATATCTTTTATGTAAATAGAAACTAAGGTTAATAATTTAAATTTAATGAAGTAAGGTCCACAGCTATGTCTGTTATCAATTCTAACAAGTATCCTAACACATTTGTTTTTGTAAAATGAACAATTCATCTGCATTAACACTATTACCCCAAAGGATAATGCCATATTTAAGCCATGAAAAGGCATACGCGTAATATGTGGACAGTGCAGTTTCTAAATTTGTGCTATGATTAATTTGATAAAGCGCATATGTAAATTTAGAGAGCTTGCATTTAATTTTTTCAATATGCGACTTCCAGTTTAAATGTGTATCTACATTAAGTCCAAGCAAGTTATACGAGTCTATCTCTTCTATTAGGGTATTTTGTAATTGAAAATTAATTTTTAGGGGTGGTTTATTATATGAACGAAATTGTAAAATTTTTGTCTTTTTAAGGTTTATTTCTAGATTATGGCTATCAAGCCAATGAGTGACATTATGAAGTGTATCATAGATAAGGGCTTCAGAGCTAATGTTGTCGTTACATTTTATAAGTATTGACAAGTCATCTGCAAATAATACTGGCAGTGTTGATTCTCTATACAAACATTTTGGCACGTCATTTACATAAATAAGAAACAGCACACAGCCTAAAACGCTGCCCTGTGGGATTGAACTAGTTAGGTGTTTCTCTTCAGAACGAACTTTTATTACTTCATTAGTAATTTGGTTGTAGTGTTCAATTTCTACTATTTGCTTCCGATTATTTAAATAGGATTTGAACCAGTTATGTACTATTTTATTTTTTATTTATAGGAGAGGGGGCAAACGAGCATGCGGCTCACCTGATGGTAAGTGACTACCGCCGCTCATGAACAACTGCAACACCAGGGGAATCGCAGATGCGTTGCCGGCCTTTTAAAAAGGAGTACGCTCTTTTCTTGAAGGTCCCTAAGTCGTATCGGTCCGGAAAAATCGCTGATGGTAATCGATTCCACAAGGAGGTCTAGCTAGCTAGGTCTAGCTCACAGATACCCGAATTCATAAGTTTTAAAAGTAGTTTATCATAGGGCACCCTGTCATATCCTTTCGTCATATCAAGTAAAATACCAAAAGTATGTTTTTTATCATTTAAATTTTGTAGGGCCATTTGTATGAACTTATATACAGCTAGGGTGGTTGATCTTGATTTTCTGAATACATTTTGGTTATCATCTAGTATTTCATACTTTTCAAGGAATGAGTAGAGTCTCTTACACATTGCTTTTTCGTATATCTTTGAAAAGGTGGGCAATAGAGCTATTGGTCTGTAGTTGTTAGGGTTTTTTTAATCTTCTTTTTTGTGCAACGGTTTTATTAGTGCTATTTTGAGAGGGTCTGGAAATATGCCATGTTGAAAACTTTGGTTCACTAAAAAAGTAAGGGGACAGACAAATTCTTCAGTCCATTGTTTTAAAAGCGCCGGTGGTATATCATCTACACCACAGCTATATTTAGTTTTTAATTTTTTTATACTATTTTTGATTTCCCTTTCATCAACTGAGGTTAGGTACATGGAGCATGTCGCTTTCAATTCGATAGAATTTTTATATAGTTTCTGATTTTTATTAATATTATTAGTTTTACCAATTGCTGCAAAATGTTCATTAAATAGGTTAGAAATTTGTATGGGACACGTTATTGTGTTATTATTAATATTTATCATCATGCTTTTGCGATTTTTTGTTTTCATTCTACCCAATTTATTATTAATTATGTTCCACATGGTCTTTATTTTATTACTCGAATTTTTCATTTGTTTAATGTATTGTAGTTTTCTTGATAATTTGATACTACATTTAAGAACTTTTGTGTATTTTTATAGTAGTTAAGAAAAACTGGACTTTTTGTTTCATTAAGGATTATTCTAAAAAGTCTTTTATGCTTACAAGATTTTTTTAATCCAGTTGTCAACCAGCCTTTATTTTTTTGTTCTTTTATTTTTACTTTCATCATAGGTATATGTTCGTTTAAACTATTTGATATTATTTTAAGAAAAATATTGTAGTTCTCATTTACAGTTTGGTTCTCTTTTAGAATATTATTCCAATCGACGTTATATAATGAGTTTTTGAATGAATTAATGTTTTGTTTTGTAAAACACCTTATTCTTGTAAATAACACTTGCTTTTTGCTCATCGCCGTCTCTAAATTTAACTCTAGATTTGTTGCTTTATGATCTGATAAACTATAATCAATAACATAGCAATTTTTTACTAAAGATATATAATTTGTAAAGATTAGATCAATACAGGTGGCTGTTTTATTTGTGACTCGGGTGGGTTCTTTTATAAGTTGAGCTAAATTATGACAACGCATTAAATTTAAGAGTTCCTGAGAATCACTATTGTTTTCGTTAACACTTATATTAAAATCACCCCTAATAATGACATATTTATGACTATATTTTAGTTGTATTCTATTAAGTAATCTACGAGTATTTAATTGTTCATAAAAGATATTAATATTACGATCCGCTCTATATAAGCTGACTAAAACAATATTATACTTCGGTATTTCTATTGCACAAAATTCAATCGTAAATTCTACGGAAAAAACTAACCAAGTCTATTTTTTCAATATAATCAATACAATCTTTCAGGATAATACAAACACCTCCACCACCGTGCTTTTTTCTACTAAATTTTGAAACTACTTTATAATTTGGTATTACTATAGATTCACAAAAGTCCTCACTTCTCCATACTTCTGACAATAATAATATGTCAATGTTTGTATCAACTAATAAATGCTCGATTAAGTCTACTTTATTTCCTAAGCTCTGAACGT